GAATATAGATATAAAAAATTGTTGTAAAAAGTATTGGCAAGCATACCTCCTATAGGCATACTGTGTGTATGTGTAACACAACTAAGGATCAACTACGGATAAAAGGGTATTGGGGTGAATCGTTGTAGTGTTGCTTGAGAAAGATAAAGGATGATTGATAAGACAGTATGGAGATGGATGGAAACCACAGGAAAAGAGGAAATAAGGAAATAAATAATACAAATTCTATTACTTATAGCTGGTTGAACATATCGCCACCAAGGACAGATGAAGTAGAAAAAGTTATCTCCACTTCCCTATTTCGGAAGAACGATCGCTATGTCCAACAACCAGTAGGTGTGGAAAGAATTAACAGTTACAACAAGAACATAGGTGGAATCTACACACCGAGGTACGTATTGGGATGAGTTTTAATATGCAGTAAGTTTTATAAGTTGCCGAATGTACCAGGTACTAACTTATGTTGGTTGATATAACCAATTTTGAGAGTTACAAAAAAATATTTCCTTACGGTCCACTTCGACGGATTTTGGTGTGCTCACTATGGAAAACCACTTGTTATTCCGGAGTAAAGAAAAAATGTTATGATTAACACTGCTGAAAATGGGAGCTGCTATGTTGTTATTTCTCCAATAAATTATTACTCGAAATGCACGAAGCCAGACCGGGTATCTGCTCACAGGTTCTTAAATGTTCTTTTTAGTTATTAGGCAAATACTAAGATCGGTAGCTCATCATAATTCTGAATATTATAGAATAAGGAGAATTTACCTTCTTAATGAACATAAAGTATGGTATGAATTTCAAAACTTAATCCTGAGGTAGGTGATGAGCAATGCATCATTAGTAGAAAATAGAAATGGAGCGGAGTAGATCGTAGGGATTCAGGAGTATATGGGATAAACTTACACAGGGTGAAGAACAGCAGAAATTCGATTTTAAGGTTTATTATCATACACTTAGCTTAATCCTCAGGATCTTTATTCGTAAGTAATGTCAACTTATGAGTTCTCGAAGATGGAATACATCTAAGGCTGATACAGAAATGATTAAGTCTGTCTTGATCCTCCAAATAGAGTACATATTAATTCTGAGTAAGTACGTTTTGACCCTAAGTAAATATTCTAATGCTAAGGATGAGTTATTCCGAAGTATTTATGAAAATGAAAAATATCTTGATTTCAAGAAAGATACGACACATTAAGAAAGAAGTACATCTTAATTCTGAAGAAGGACTATTTTCAAGAATAATCTTAAAAATAGTCTTTTCAATCTTCATTATGACTTATTCCTTTTTAATGCTACTAAGGTCTGTACCATCGAGATCTACACCGTAAGAAAAAAACTATTCTTTCATTACAAGAAAAATCTATAATTTGTTTCTAAGGAAGATAAAGTATAATTTAATATAGAAGTAAATCCATTATTTCTGAAGGAAATGGAGTACATAATGGTACCAAAAAACATAGAAAACCTACACCCTGGGAAAAACGGTGTATATTTTAATCCTGAGGAAAATGGAGTATAGTATGATCACAAGAGAGGTTAGTCACATCTTAATCCAAAGGAAAGTGAAGTTTGAGAGTTGGAGAAAGGAAAAGTCTAGGTCATTCTTGATGAATGGAATGAATCTGTAAGTCTGATTATGCTTTAGATAATTCCGCGAATATGCTGAAGATAGTTCTTCGATCCGTGACAAAGTTTCAATCTGGCCATTTTTTGCTACGGTGGAAATCGTACAATAAAATCTAACGAAATTATCAGTCAACACTTATTCGCTTTCTACCAGAAAACATATAATCGGTTTGCGATGAATTTTCCCGTCAAGACTCGGATATGTATGTTTTTACTTTCAATTATCAAACTTGATCTTTCACACATTTGAGTCATTTCGATGTCGCGCATTAAAGCGACCTTGCTCGAGAGATTTCTTCTGATGAGTCTCTCAGAATTGATTGTTTCAACATTTTTGCATCCTTTGGTTATCTGATAAAGCATGCAATCTGATTTACTGTTCCATATGAGCGATATAATTTAAGATGTTGACTGCACCATATGATGTGCGGCATAAAGCTTGCATTATTTTGTATGGACCAAAACAACTTTGTTCAATTTAGCAATAAAAGATTCCCAGAAAAGAAAATTAGCAGATAATTTAATGATTAACGTTTATATACTAAGAGTCTGGCGATGAAGATGAATATGTAACTGAAAGAATTGAGGTTGGCCATATTAGCTCACAACAAGCTTGACATAACACTCTGATTGCCAAATATACATTTCGAAACAACTTGAACAAAAATATAAACCCAAAAATATGATAAAAGGAACTGCTAATCAACTTTACATGCAGATATTGTGGCTTTATTTGAAATACTATTTTTAAGTGCTGTAAGGAAACTAAGTATATATTTTTGAATTGTAATCATAAGATGAATTTTGAAAGTTAATATTAAGAGGTTGTTTAGTGCAAAAAGTTTGTCGTTCAGAAAGGTCTTCATTGTCTTCATTAACATCCACATTGGTGGCAGAATGTAATAATTTTAAATTACGAGCAATGAAAGTTATTTTACCAGTTCGTTCAGCCGTAAACTGATTTCTTTTCACACTGTGAATAAAAGCTGTATGTGCTGAAGCTTCTTTCTCTTCTGTAAGCTTCTGTATCTTGACCGCTACTTTACTTAATGTCGACCTAAAACAAGTCCCCTTCCACCATACAACGCGATGTAACCTTTCGTTAGATCGACAAAGGGCCAATTCTGCTATTACCTCTGCAAACTCATCTGGGCTTGTTACAGTAGCCGTATTGTTTATAAACTATGTTCCTTGTATTTGTCCTTCTCTATTAAGATGAAGCCCATTAAAATTTGGATCTAGAAATATTTGCAGCAAGATGGATTGGATTTATTGTCATTTGCTTTCTTTTCACTAAAAAGATTTTTAGGTCCCTTTCCTCTTGGTTAAACAAAAGGCTTGAGGAAAGGACTGTTTCAAAATGACTTTCCAACTCAAAAAAGCATTCAGTTACTTGGCTCCTTGGTTTATCTCCTTCCAGGTGGGTTATGTATTTAACAACAGGGTTTATTAGGTGATAAAAGTTTGAAACTTTTACCCAAAGAATATCCTCATCCAATATCAACTTTGCAACTCGTTTAGTGAGTATATCTTCAACTGTTTCACAAACTGCGAATGTTTTTAATGCATATTGTGTATCACGAAGACTTTTTAAACCATGAATAATTGATCCCCATCGTGTTACAGGTAATTTTAAGGAAATAGTTGCTTTGGTGTCATTTCTTACAGTTTGAATTTTTCTAAAGGAGCCAATAATATGTGGGAATTGTTAATTTCTTTGATGACATCTTTAACATCTTCCATAGTAGTAGACATGGTTTTCGTTTTTGAAATGTCTCCAATTAACAAATTTAGCGTATGAGCAATGTACCATAAACAGAAATGTGTTTGTACTTTTCATGAAGTACATTTCTTGCTTTAACCATTGTACTGACATTGCCGGTTACTACAGCAGAGAATTTTTCAGTACCAACTTCTCTTAAAATTTCATCGATTTTTTCAGCAATATATTCTGCGGTATATCGACTAATATTTGTTGTCAAAGTTTTATGAAACACAGGGGTTTCATTCGTTCTTTTGGTTGCTCCAACCATCACACTGTAAGTTAAGAGCATTCGCTTCTCTAATTTTCATTTTAATGTCTGCATCAACTTTTTCATACTAGGAGTCCAGTAATTTATTTGATAATAAATAACGTGTAGGCATTTTAAAAGATGGTCTCAAATGTTTGAAAAATGATTGCCAGCGATTATTTTCAACAATGGTAAATGGAGTACCTGTAGCATAACCAGCTCTAGCTAATAGTTGATCTAGCTTCTCTTGTTCAACTTTTGATGAAACATCAATAAAATCATCGAGTGTGGAACTCGAATATTCTTCTTTTTCATCTCTACATATATCTGGCAGAAACTCAATTTAATTACACTGTTATTATATGACGCCTGGTTGGTTCTACTTGGTTCATTTTTCAATACGATATGACCCTGACTGACAAAATGTGTCGTTAATGTTGTTGAAAAATTTCGATATTAGCAAACATCATTCTGAAATTATTTACAACAATAGCAATCGTTTAATTGGCTCTTCTGGGAGACTGGTTTTCCTTACTTTTGAGCTATTTGAAACTTTTGATTATGGTCAAATAACATTTCGAAGCGCATCCATCGGACGATTAATATCTAGGAACATAGAATACATACCAAACATGAAAACGATATAACCTTGCAATAGATTTATTCTACCTTACAAAATATAAAACATACATTTTATATGTATCCTCAGGACAATATTCTATCCCAATTTTAAGTAACCTTAATTCAATATAAATTTCGAAGATTTTTATAATCTACAAATCCATGTCAACAATATCACATTATTGATAATGACTTGATAAATGACTAAATATGTTAAGGTATTTTTTTATAATTGCCTTCTTTGTATGCAGAAATCCTCAAAATATGTAAATAGAAAAGAAATATGTGTAGTAGGTTTCATTTATTATGATTGTAGGATGTGGATAAATTATCGTACAGTTCTCGAGCCGAGCTCTGAAATCGTGGGAATCGAAATTTATTACATATCAAATTAATTACCGACCGTAAATCTGTGATTTACGAGAAAAACTAACGGCAAAGGAACCCGACCATGTGTCACTACTGCTCGAATCCGCAATTATTGTGTGTTTGGGAGTGGAACGGCTACGCCACAGGTAATTAACCTATCGTTTGGGTTGCGCGAAGTTAGGTAACCGGTTACTATTGGTGCTGGCAGGTTTTCCTGCAGGCCATGACTTCTATACAACTGGTTATGTATAATTAATCGCCATTTGCGGGCATTATTAAATTAACAAAATCGAATGGGAAGTGATTTCTTTTCTTTGAAATTTTTTAAGACAGCTGTCAAATGACAAATTATCCTTAAATTAAATGGGAGATATCTACGCTTCAAAAACCATAATTTTAGATCGCGGTAGTTACACGCAATGTACATTAAATCTTTACGGTGCAAATATAACTTCTTGGAGAATTCGTAATATCGAACAACTCTTTGTGAGCACTCAAGCGATTGCAGATGGAAAACTTGCAATACGTGGAGGAATTCCGATCGTATTTCCTCAATATGGACCGTGGCAATTTGGCCCTCATCACGGATTCGCAAGGCTCATGGAATGGAAGATTAAACAACACCCAAAGAAATTGGAAAATAGAGACATCGAGGCTATTGTTTATTTAGAGGCCGATTACTACAGTAGATCAATGTGGAATTTTTCATTCAAAGCGGAATACCAAATAATTTTACAAGAATACGGAATTAAGCTTAGTATTACCGTTTTTAATCAAGACAAAGAATCGCTAAACTTTAATCTTTTAATGCATCCGTACATTCAAGTTCCAAATATGGTAAACACTAAAATTGTTGGATTGGAAGGTGAATTTTGGGATAAAACAACAGATAATCTTGCGGAAGGTGTACCTATAATGAAAATATATGAGTTTACTGATAGAGTATATAAAAACACCAGAAGTACACATATTTTAACTAACGTGATGGAAAATAACAAAATGAAAATTGAGAAAGAAAATTGCCCCGATACGGTTATATGGAACCCTGGGTCTGAGAATGCAAAGAAATTTATTGATCTCTTAGAATCAGAATATGCACGATTAATATGTTTAGCAACGGGACACGCCGATCAACATTTAAAAGTTTTACCCAACGAATCATCTACAATGAAATTGTCAATGCATATTATGAGGGACGATATATTAGCTGAATTACAAAAATTGTATCAAAGAAGCTCAGAGTCTGATCCAAAATTCGAAGGAGGATTTATATGGTGATTTACAAAAATAAATTAAGTTGAAATCATTTTTGTTTCAAAATAGACAACGTTATTAATATAAATGCTTCGTATTCGTATGGTCTGATATGAGTATATAGTATAGGCAGGAAATAGATGATGAGTCATTACAATTTTTACATACACGTGAAATTGGCTACCGATAATAAATAAATTATCTGTAATTAAAATCTTCGCGTGAGCAAATTAAATTTCGTTCTAAACCGGAGTTACTTGCGCTTGTGAGAGTTAAAATTTATTTAAAACAATACAATCAATTTGTAACGCAGATGCGGTCGAGATATTTTCCGACACCGGAGACCAGATAATAACGCGAATTCAAATTAAAAAGGGTAATTGTTGCCGCGGCGATTGCGATTTCGATTCGGATTAATTTATTAATTTATATTCATTGTCGGAACGAACCGTAAGGGTGTCAAATCCTTATTAATGACGTGCCTCAGGCTTCAAGTTCGACGCAAAGAAACATTCGGCAACTTTCCATTCCGTTCGAGATGTTCTTTATCGTCCATTTCGTATCAATCTCGCCCGGTATTGTCGCCGTGCTTATTTTGACGTAACTTCTTTTCGTTCTCCGCGAATCAATTGTGATCGATTTCTGGTCCCCTAATTACTACTGTAATCAATGACTTGCCAAAATTAAGAACTTTTCTCACGCGATCGTAATTTAATTAACGCGCTATTCGTAAAATGATTCGATCTGGGGTATTATATTTCGAAATTGCTGGATCATTAATACCTCCATTATGATTTACATTTATACAATCCCCATTTTTTATTCTTATAACAATGAAAAATTACTGTTTTCAACATCCTGAGTACACGGTTGCGCGGTCGGTTACTGATTAAAATAATAAGTATCTGTTAAATAGATAAGAATCTATTCGATTACGATTCCCATTACCAAGAGCACGCGAGCAAAAATGCTTCGATGGCATATCCTGCAGCGATATAGCCACTTAAGACGCGTTCAGATTTAAAAACCCGTGCTCAGTTTGTTTTGAGTATATCATGTTAATATCAGCGATAAATTACGGAAGCAATAAGTGACGTTCTTGACACGCAACGAGTGGGTTAGTGAACGGAATTGATGACGTCGGCACTCGAAATCTCTTGCTTACTAATGAGCATCTAAGAGCATCTAAGTCATTAACATGCCTAATTTCAATTTACAACACGAAGCACGATTAAAAATTATTTATTACATTTAATTGAGACATCATTTATTAGATACCTGAAAAAGTTATTTTTCAAATATGATCACAAAAATCCAAACTAGAACTTACATCAGACCTAGAACTAGAAACATTCGGATTTTGCCGTCTTAAGGTCTAGTGTTAGTTTCTGTTCTAAAACCTGATCAAAAACCTTATCATTTAAATTTACATACTTTAAATTTTTGGACGGCTAAGTTGAATAACAACTAAAACTAGAACTAACACTAGCATTAAAACTAACTCTAGACCTAGAACTAGAATCATTCGGGTGTAGCCGTACGTCTCTTAAGACGGCTAAACCCGAATATTTCTAGTTCTAGGTCTACTGTTAGTTCTAGTTTCAGTTGTTATTCAGTGTTAGATTGTGGTATAAGTTCCAAACAATAAGTCAGTTAAAAACGAAGAATGTTTTTGATGTAGTAACAGGAGAAGAAAGGAAGCCAGTTCGAAATACAGAGAAATACGAAGAAAATTTAAAGAAATGGAGAATCAATGACATAAAAGCACAAGGAATACTAGTGGAAAGTATGGAGGAAACTCCAATGACACACATATGGAAAAAATTTCACTCAGTTTACGAACATAAATCTGAAGTTAGGTTACATTTAGTGACACAAAATTTTTTTAACGCTAAATACGGAGAAAGCATGTCAGTTTTTCTAGCGAAGTTGGAATAAATTGCTATCCAATTAAAACAGATAGGGAACCAATTTCCTATCAAATTTTAATGACAAAAATAATCATGTCGTTTCCAGAACCGTACAAACATTTTGTATCTGCATGAGAGTCAGTTCCGTCAAGCAATCAATCAATATGTGAATTAACATCATGGTTGTTGGTTGAGGAGAATAAAACAAATGAAATAATAGAAATTGTTTTTTTGTCAGAAAGAAAAGATGAGAAGAAAATGATAAAATGCTTATATATACACATTAAACAAAATTGTAAGAAGAAAAAAGAGGATAGAACATGTTATATTTGTAGAAAAACAAGGTCACATTGCAAAAAGTTGTTGGTTTAAAGATCAAATAAGCAACAAACAGAATGAGAAACCTAATAACAACAATAAAGTCAATGCATTCATAAGCACAGCCTTACTAAATAAGACAGATTCGATATTGGACAGTCGTGCAAACGATCACATGTGTTGTCAGGTAGAACAATTTGTAAAAATGGAAACATTGGAATCTGCAAAGCAAATAAAAAATGAGCTGGAAATATCTTAGATGCTCCAGCAGAAGGAAGAATTCGGTTAAAGGCGGCATTCAATGAAAAGGATTGAGAAATGGTACATTTGAAAAATGTTTTGTATGTACCATAAACGACCTGCCCACCAATCAAAGCCATACACGTGACAATTGTTAAAGCGCCATAACATCCATTATGAAGATTCTGAATTTTTTGTGAAGGTTTTGTTGAAGGAAAGCAACATAGAAATCCACATCCAAGAAGTGAAAGTAGAAGGAAATTTCCAGGTGAATTGGTACATGTAGATCTTTGTGGATCAATGGAACAACAATTGTTGGGAGGGTCAAGGTATTAACACAATATTTCTTAAAACATAAATACAAAGTGAAAGAAAAATTGATTGATTTTATAAAGAAAGCAGACAATACAACAATATTGAAAGACAATACAAATAATAAGGTCAGAATGGTTCAGAATTTACATGTAAACCAATTCAGGAAATTTTAACAAAATACGGAATCAGACACCAAAGAACAATAACATACATACCACAACAGGACGGTACAGCTGAACGAAAAATGACAATGCTGAAAGAAAAAAATTTTGAATACTGTTTTTGGCTGAAGAAGAGAATACTGCAGCCTACACTCTGAACAGACCAGGAAAAAGTACAATACACAAGAAAACACCTTATCACTTATGGTTCAGTAAAAAATTCTCCTTGGAAGATTTTAAAATATTTGGAAGGAAAGGATACATACATGTCCCGCAGAAAATGGGATAGTAAGAATAAAAAGGTCTTATTCATGGTATATGAAGAGGATACGAAAGGATACAGAGTTTATTGTGAAGAAACGAAACTTATCGAAGTTACTAGTTGCTAGGGATATCGTTTTCAAACCAGACGTTTAAAATAAAAATATTGAAAATTAAGAAAGAAAAAAACACGAGAACAAAGAAGAAGATTCAACAGAGGTAATAGATACAGAAGAAGAAGATGGTGAACAAGAAGAAAACGTTGAAGTTGAAGACATAGATAATAATGATGAGATAGCTGAAGAGAAGGTATCTATAAACATGAAATACCTGAAACATAAGAAAAAGAAGAAACCACAAGAGGAAGAAATAGAAGCTCACTAAAAAGATCAATTAAATACAATGATTATGAGACCTGTTTGATGCCATGGAAAATACCGAAAAGAAAAACTGGGAAAAAGGAATAAAATCTGAAATAAACAGTCTACAAGAAAATGATACTTGGGAGGAAGTAGATAGACCAAAGAATGAAATTTTGCAATAGCTGCAAAATGGGTTTTCAAGATAAAAGAAATTGAAAACCAGATACAATACAAAGCGAGATTGGTAGCAAGAGGCTTTTTGCAACATGACCTCGTTTATAGCGATATCTATACTTCAATAGTAAAACTGCAAGCAGTTAGAATGCTTTTAGCTATAGCACATCATTTAAGATGTGCGGATGGAAAAGCGCGTTTTTATATGGCAATATAGAAGAAACGATATATTTGAAACCGCCAGAAGGAATAACAACAGCAAAGAATAAAGTTTTAAAATTTGAGAAAAGCTATATATGGTTTGAAAAAAATCACCAAAATATTGGAATAAAAGATTTAAGACGTTAATGATTGAACAGAATTTTAAACAATCAATGGCTGATTATTGTTTATATACAAAAATAGACAAAGAAACTTGATTTACTAATTTACGTAGATGATTTACTAATAATTTGAAACAACAAGGACAAAATTGAAGAAATAAAAATGATTCTAAAAGGGAATTTCAAAATGAAGGATTTGGGAAATGTAGGAACATATTTGGGAATAAAAATGGCGTTACATCAAATATCTTATTTGAAAAGAATATTAAAAGCATATAAAATGGAAGATTGCAAACCGATTGGAACAGCTATGGATCAAAACTTCAAGATGGAACAAATCATCAGGAAGTCAAGAACTAGAAACCAGATGTAGAAAGCTAATTGTATCATTAACGTATGCAGTCATTACGACCAATTCAAATGTTAAACTTATTATAAAGTTGATATGTAAAATGTTTCAATTGAGAGAGGGTATGAAGTAGCAATTAGTAACATTATACATATATAATAGATGGTGTTAGAGTTAGTTTAAAAAGTTGTAGAGAAAGCGTTGGTAGTTTTGTTATAGCAACTACAAATAAAGTAAATATATAGTATTGTTTTCAATATAAATAATAATAAAAGCTGTTCAAGTTACACCGCTGGTTTTTAATTAAAAGATTGCGACCGCCACCTCTGAACAGAACTAAAACTAGAACTAACATTAAAGTGCAAATGAAAAATGTTTCATATAACGGAATTTCAGCTATAACAGACTCTCTTCCTCGTATTAGTTCGTTATGTCGAAGTTTTACTGTAATGAATATCCAAGTTTCTAAGTCATTGAGATGGTTAAATATTCAATCGACGGCGACGTCTTGTCTTGAATGAAAATTATTAATTACATCTAATTGAGACAACATGTTGTACATACGAATGCATCTGTTTCGATTTGAATTATTTCTAGCCTTAAAAATGCTA